ATCTCACGGCTACTCGCTCAGCGAATTGAGATCCGACAATCTGGCCCATCTCCAAGCTTCTACAACTTCTGCATTTCTCTTCCATGGCGCAAGTCGAATACGCCCAAGCTTTCCTCACGAAGGCAGGCTTTTCCTTCTCTCACTAACCCATTGTCGGAAAGCTCGTCACTGTCTCCACTGGGCTGATTCGCAAACTCCCAGACCCTGTTCGAAGAGACCACCATGGACTACCTTTTCATCTGCAACAGCGTCTTCCCCCATCAGTGCTATACATGTTTACAACCAGGAGATGAGTGTTGGCTTGGATTATTTCATCTTAAATTTCTAAAGCAGATGGAAGATGGAGAGAACTCGTACGAATTTGGTGATTTGTATGTGCAGATCACGACGATTTCAGTTCTTCGTCTCAATATACTATTATGGGAATGCCTCAACGCCGGGATCGCTTGCACGCCTCATTTCTAAGTTATGAAAGAGGCGCAAAACAAAACTTGAGTGGACCAAGTTAATATTAAAAATACTAAAATCAACTACCCTTCAAACGTACTAACCCTCAGTGTTAGAAAACTCATATAGCATAATAAGAAAAAAGTTTTCCGAAAACCCTAGCATGCCATAAAACCTCCGTCGTTTGCATCGCCTCATCAACACCAATCTCTCTCTGAGCTAGTTATAATCACCAAATCAATTGAAAATTTAAACCCTAAAATCCCAATTAGCCCCAAATTCCTGTTGAGATTCTCAGACAAGTTTTGTTGCGGGATATCATCCGGATTCAAACATGGAGCACCCTTCGATTTCTCCTTTCTTTCCATGCAGTCTTTATTCGTAAGTGTTCCTCTACCTGCATTCAGACTTTAATTTGAGCTCTATCCTGTGTTGCATGAAAAATGGGGTAGGTTTTATATATGAAATTTCTGTATTCCTAGTTTTCTCTTTGTTCCTATTTTTTAATTACATCATAAGGTTCAGCTACATTCAGATTATAATTTGAGGTGTATATCGTGTTGGATAAAAAATGGAGCGTGTTTTATGAATGAAACTTCTGTATAACAATGCCCAGGTATTTACATGTATATGTGTGTATACTTAGGAAAATAGTCATTTAGGTAGCTGAGTGAAGTGCGTATGATGATTACTATTTGGGATTTATATTTAGTTATATTTTAAAAAAATTTGGTTAGAAGGAGGAGGACAAATAAAGAGGAAGATAAATTATGTGCCTGGATAGACATTTCTCAGTGTAAAGTGTGTGTGCTTTGTAAATTTTTTTTTAATCTTTCTTAGAAATAGAGCTTAAGAAGAAAGAGGAAGATAAATTATGTGCCTAGATAGAGATTTCTCAGTTTAAAGTGAGTGCACTTTGTCATTTTTTTTTAATGTTTCTTAGAAATAGAGCTTTCTTAGTTATTAGTGCTTTAATGAAAAAAAAAAAAAAACAAACATTGTAGTATTGGTGTTTTGTGTATCTGATTTGTAACCGTATTTTCTATTGCAGATCATTGTCAGAGCAATTTATATAGCTACCGAGTGCTCTTGCTGAGATTGAAAAAAAAAACAGGTGAGTCCGGCTACTAAGTAGTGTCAAGTTTACAATTTACAAATTTCTATTAATCGTTTTGATAAATGTTTATATATATATATATATATATATATGTGTGTGTGTGTGTTACCATTGCTTTGAATGAAAAAAAAAAAATTGTTGTAGTGTTATTGTTTTGCACGTCTTATTTATGACTACTTTTTCTAGTGCAGATTAGTGCTACAACAATTTATATAAACCACAAAGTGTGTTTTGCTGAAATTGGAAAGAAAAATAAAAGGTGAGCTGACAAGTAATGTCAAATTTAGAATTTACAATTTTTTTTAATTATATTGATAATTGTTTATACATACATATATATATATATATATGTGTCTTGGTATTTGTATCATTCTTTAAAAAAATTTGGTATATCAAATGTCATTTCGTGCAAAATTTGTATTTTCGTTTATGTCTTTTGCAATGCGGTTCATCTTTTTTCTTTTTGTGTTAGAAATTTAGAAATATAGATTAAAACATCTTTGGTGGTGGGTAATAATTTTGTTACTTCACAATTTAATAAATTTATTGTTCAATAATATTTATGTTGGTTTTTCACAGGGTTTGAGAACGTGGCATTATTTAACATCAAGTTGGTTTTGTTCGCGTTCCAAGATTCTCTACACAAAAGGTAGGTGATTTAAACTTCTAAAATTATTGAGTTCAAATTTATACCATCTGGTTTAATTTTATTTTTTTACAATTAGAAGAAAGTTTCATGTTCTGTTTAGGTTTTATTATACTCAAATTGAAATTTTAATTTTAGTAGTTTGTTTGCATTTAATGTTATATCTGTTGTTTTAATATGTGTGTTGCATCTTTGTTAATTTTTTCCTTTTTCCCCAATTTGTTTACTGCTATTTGTTTTTCAATTGGCCATAAAAATTTGTTTGCAATGTCTAAAAGATCTATAAATGCATTAACAAACAATACTGTCAAGCAGAAACAAAACAATGACAATGAATATAATATGTTTGTCAATTATGGTCACCAACCAAAAAGAGTGTGTAGAGCCAGTTATATTCAAAATTCTCAAACCGTTGTTTTGTCTCAAATTGATACGTTTCATCGAACTTCATGGTTTGAACATGAGTGTAGTACTAGCTGGTCAACTGCTGTACAATGTGCTATCAAAGATGCAAATTATCATAACGCAGTCCATTACACGTGTTAAAAAAATTGTTTGTGGCTCTAATAAAAGGGAAAAAAGGTTGTTAGTTTGTCAAACAATCTTGAAAACACACGTGAAAAATCCTTTGATCGTGAGAATCACAATCTCATGAACAAGAGTCCAGCATTTCTCCAGAAAAATAGAATTGGTATGTTTTTTTATTTTATATAATTTTTTTTTTTGGTTGATATATAACTTTGGCATTCAGTTAATAGTATGTTATTCTTAAGTCATGTTTTCTTTGTTTTCCTATGTATGTTGTTATGTAGGAATTGCAGAAAATTACATGGATTTTGGAGATAAAACTTATAAGTGCATTTATTGCGGTGCTTATTTTTTTGCTAAAAGAGTATTAAACCGAGGTTGAAAAAAATCAACCAATCTTTACACTTCGTTGTCAACAAGGAAAAATTTAGTTATGAGTGACTGCATTTTCTTTGCGTTAGCTGGGATAATATCTGAGTGACTGTATTTTCTTTGAAGCAAAAATATGAAGAAAACAAATATAAAAGACTAGGACGAAATTTCGAACTCCATGTACAAATAAAATTAAGAGCATGTCATTTATACACACCATCCACACAGTACAACTTACATCCTCCTAAACTAGTTACAACCTTTTTTCCAACTACAAGTTTCGCCAAACCAGTTTCTGCGAAAAGTTACATGGAATGGCGGCCATCTCCTCAATCTTTCACCTATCGCTCATCCTGAATTTCTTCCAAATCTTCATCGTCTCCTTTCTTAATTGCCTGCTTGTTCTTTTCCAATATGCAACCTACTTCTTCAGTCGCATGATCTATTTTGAAGAAACGTTTTTGCTTGGATCATTCACGATCGATTCAACTCATGCATATATATTTGAATTTAGCATATAGGTGTGAAGAAATAGTAATCATTACCAATTGGGAGGGTTAAATTATTGAAAACTTTAACAAAAAGCTTCTGGTATTGTTCATTTTAACGAAAAATCACATTTTTCCACTAAAATGTCAATCATGGTACTATTCACTTTACCCTTTATTTTGTCATTTTCGTTAAAACTCAAAGTTTTTAAACCATTTTCATTAATTTTCTCTAAATTATTTCAAGTTAGACTTGTGGATAAATTATACAAAACTACTTAAATTGTGAATTGCACCACAATCTCATACTTAATATTTAAAACATTGCAATGTTATATCTCAATTAATGAATTTGTGACAATATCAAACTTCCATTAATTAATCCGTTAAATTAACTGTTAAGTGATGACGTGGCAAATACAATACATATTTTTCTAATGGGAAATTTAGATAAAAATAAATAAAATTATATATATATATATATATATAAAAGTGACTTTATGCCAAAAAAAGTTAAATAAAGAGGAGTGGGCCCACCCCAACCAAAACCACCCGTCCTCACCCTTCGTCCCCTCCATCGCCCCCTCCTTCCTTCACCACTGAAACCACAGCACCGCGCCTCCTCCGACACCCCTCCTCCGCCATCGTCCACAAACTACAAGGCCTAGGCTTCACCAACCTTGTCCACTGCAACCACGCCCTCACCGGCCAAGCCAACGTCGAGTCCTTCTCCGCCGCCGAGAAACCCCAATTCTTGATCCCGCCGCCGCAGCAGCATTCACGCCAACACCACGTACCCGACATATTTCATCGCCGTCAATCTCTAGAACCAGACCAACGTTATGGTTGCTTCTTTGTTGAAGAAGGAGCCTGCTTCTTTGTTGAACACTGCCAGGTGGCTGCTTTGTGGTTTTGAGTGGCCAAACTCAAATTCCTAATTTTTTTAGTAAAGGAAAAGAGAAATTGGAGATCTACTAATAGAAGTGGGCGATCGCGGTGGGCGGTGGGCGGTGGGCGGTGGGCGGAACGGAGAAGATGAGCCATAAGCCAATACCTTCAATTTTTCATGTACCAACAGCGTTTTAAATTGAATTTTCAGAATTTTTAACATTTTTAAGTAGTTAAATTTTGTTAAATTATTAATATTTTAATCTAGTTGGCTGAGGAGTGGGTCTCGCACTTTGAGCATTTAACAAAAAAATTTGCAACAAATTTGTAAGTTAATGTATGACATTGCAATGTTAAAACATGAGATTGTAGTGCAAATGTGACCCATAGTTAAGGTAATTTTGTATAACTTATCCAAAAATGCACATTAAAGATAAATATGAAGATAATTATAACTTACCCAAAAAAATATACATTAAAGATAAATATGAAGATAGAGGAAAATCAACATAAATACGATAATATCACATCATCACATACCCATTTTTGTCATTTTATACTTTCACAATAATTTTACATAAAAGTTTACAAAACACTCAAGCACTTTTACAATTAAAGTTTACCAAATACTTTATTACTGTATTTTATAGTTGTTTCTCCTCATAGTACAACAGAAGTAGTTTTTTTAAAAGCATAGGAATACCAAACTAGCTTAGAAGGAGGTGCGTACAAGTGCAAGGGCTTCACCACCATGCAGGTTTGCGGAGAATCTTAGCTTTCTGTAATCTTCATAAGTAAAGGGAACGTAAAGTCGAGGGTGCTCGGAATCCACCAATTCTGGAGGAGCTTCCACTCCTGCTTCCTCATTTGGTCCACGTTGGAATGAAGCGATCGAAACTCGAATTCTTGCCTCCCGGAATTGTACTCTGTGCTTGACATTGCACAACCTTCCATTGCTCCATGCCTTTCTTAAAATAATAACATACAAGGAAATATGCACAAATGAAACAAGTGACAAACTTGTAGAATTTGAGGGACGCTAAACAGACAATATATTACCTGAGCGACATCCCCGAGATTAACAAGGAGAGTGCCTGGGCAAGGATCAACAGCTACAAGGGTGCCGGATTTGTCCATCACTTCCAAGCCACCGACAATTTCATCGTCTTGAAGAATGGTTAGAAATCCCGAATCCGTGTGTAATCGTAGACCAGTGGATCCAACTGATTCAGGAGTGAAGGTGTACTTGTTTATCCTGAACTGGCAGGGCCACCTCTTGAGATAATCATTATCAGCCAACCCTAGACTCTCTGCCAATTTCTGCCCTATATCCACGATCTGCTCACACACTGCTTGAGCATACTTCTCTATCACCTCTCTGCTCGTTTAGTGATAAAAACAACTTTAAGATTACTATGCTTCAATGTAAGCAATACAGTGCTCAAATTAACGACTAGACTTAAATGTTCTAGATGAAACCATCGTATATAACATTATGCTTAAGTACAATTTAACATCTGTGAGGAAACTTTTGTTTTTGTGTTTTTAACTATTGATAAATCACAATCGACATGTTTGTAGATACTTTTGTTTTTATATTTTAAGTTAATTCAGTATATGTTGTTATTTGCATGTAGGTAATGATGAATTGTTCCTTAATTGTAGGGAGCCAAGTGGTTTTTTAACATATATAAGTATTGAAAAATCTATTGAGGTTGTAATTTAATTTTTTTTCTTCATTCAATAATAGTCGTCAATTGAGAATTAGAGTTTAGAGCTTCGAGTTTAGGATTGACATGTGGACCAAATAACATATATGACAATTGACTAATCTAGAGATTAAGGTTCTAACAATCTTGTCATTCAACAATCCTCGTTTGAGATTTGACCTGCGGAGACGGAGAGGCATTAGACCAAATAATTATGCGGAGTATTCGGGTTGTATTTTCTTGTTTTCTCTTAGCTAAAATTTAAGCAATAGTAAAACTATCAGACGATCAAAAGCTAACCTCTGGTAGGAAGAAGCATTTAACTGAGAGCAAAAGCTGTCCAAAGCCTGACACGATCCCAAGTCGTAGAACCCCAAAGATTCATAGATAGGGTTGACTATGCTGGGAGCCAGGTATCCACTGCCAGTTATCCCATCCTTGTTCTGCTTCTTGATCTCCATGGGCAGGTCCAGCAAAGATCTGACCACTGATAGCATCTCGGACATCAGAGCCGATGGGATCATGTGGTTCACAAGCCTGAAGCATCCCCATGTCTCTGATGCTTCCCTCAGCTTCCTGTACTCTTCTACTTCTGGAAATTTTTTTAGGTCAATGGCTGGGATTGTCCTGCAGTCTTCCTCTCCACCTCCCATTTCCGAATTTTGGTTTTGTTTCTTATTTCTCCTCCTTTTTTTTATACAAACAGCGAGAAAGAATCAAACTCGAGACTTCGGAAACTTTAACTAACTGAGCTACGTAGACTTTCAAATTCTACTTTTTATTGGACATTTGGATTAGATTTGTTCAATTGGGATTGAATGACTGTACCGTACGCATTTGTTTTTGACTAATTACGGTAAGATTAATTAAGGGGTCGGCAAGAAGAAAAAGATTAGCACGCCACCCATGTTAATGCAAATCGTCAGCATCATTTTTTTAGCCATAAAATCATCATCAGCATGCATTTTCAATTTTTAATGTTTCTTTTCAATCGTTAGCATCATTTACTTAATACATTCATGCAAAAAAAATTGCAAAAACCAATAACGATGGACGTTAGCCCTCCCTCCAACTCTCGCAAAGTGGAAAGCCTTGTTGATTGCTAGAAGACATTCACCATCTAACATATATATGGGGAGAGATGATATTCTATATTTTCGATTGCATATATATCTTACGATGAATATATTAATATACAGTAGCTAGTCCTTTAATTTGGAGGGCAAAGAAAATTAGAATATACATTTACTTTGAAAATCACTATCCTTTTTGAATATTTCTGGGTTAAGTGAGATGCTTTGAACATCAATAATACTAGGCATATCAAATTTTGTGATTAGCCTAATATTTGGATGTTCACAGAAACTCCTCTGAAAATATCTATTTAGCAAATTAGATAAAATGGTTTAGTAGAATGTATAATGACAAAATAGCAGAAAAATTATAAAAAATTGATATATACTAAGTACTAGTTTGGTACTGAGGTACTTTTATAAAAAGTAGGTATCCAAAAAAGCTGAGCTAAAAAATTTATTTGTTAAATACTTAAAAACAACTTATTTTCACAATTTTGGGTAAAAAAAAAAGCTGAAAAAGTGAAGTAGCAAAAATAATCTTTGAAAAAAAGTTGAAAACGTGAAGCAGCATAAATGTTGGATTATATATTGAATGTTGGACTATGATTTCTTGTTAAACGTTGGATTATATGTTTAAAATAAAGTTTATAAATATTTTTCTTTTAAAAATAAAGTATATTTAGTAATTCACCTTTATTTGTTAAGAAAATTAAATTAATGGCACATCTAATATTATACTTTTTTTTGTCATTTTACACAATCAAAGCTGTTTTACATATAAATTTACCAAATACTATAATACTGTTTTTTTTTTTCCAAAAGCACTTTTACAAAAAAGTTTACTAAACACTTTGCTACTTTATTTCATAACTGTTTATTCTTATAGCACAGCAGAAATTTTTTTTTTTTTTTTTTAAAGCACAACAATACTAAACTTGCCTTAAAACAGGTGGGGAAATCAGTGTAGTGGATTTCCGGTTTTACCCCTGATTATTTTGCTGTTAGTCCAAATTTACCCATTTGTCTTGCTGTCAATTGGAGATGAATTTTGTGACACGTGGGACTCCCAGCTTCCTCCACCTGTTTCAGTCGCTCACCGCCTCACCGTAAAAAAATTAAACCGGATTCCTTTCAAATTTCAAGTTTCAACCACCGCTACCACAGTTCTCCCGCACCTCAGCTCTCACCTGATTCTATTTCTTCTTCTTCTTCTTCTTCTTCCCTAAAACCCTCCAATTTCCCCAAAATCCCTCCCTTCCAAATCCCCACTACCTCCTTCTCCCCCTTACAGAGTCAGATTCCCCCAAATCCTTCCAAGCCAACGGTCCAAATTTTCAATCTTTCCTCCAAGAATTAGCCGTAAGCATCCATTTCCCATTTCTAATTTCGATCCTTTAGGTCAAATTTTGAACCTTTACTTATTTTCATTGCTTAATGTAGTTGTAATTTAAAGTCTGATTTTTTCAGTTTTGTTATTTCCTGTGCAGGACATCTTTGATCTTCCAAATGACTACTTTGCGCAGCTTTCGAATGATCGCCGTCTCGATGTGAGTACTTTTTTTTTCAATCTATGTTAATTACCCAGATGTTGAATTCGATAAAGAATGTGAATTATTAGATGAGAGAGTTATCTGGATAAGGAACAAAGGATAGGTTCATGTCGAATATATTACATAGCAAAAGTTGGGGATTAAGCTATTTGCGTTATTTGATTATTTTGTGGGATATTTGGTTAGAAAATTGTTGAATTTTGTGCTGTTTGTGTGATTGTGTTTATCCATTAGGTTTGTTCTGCGCAAATATCATAGTTTCAATATTTCATATGATTTTGTTGTTGGGTAGTTCTTTCAAATAAGTTTTAACTCTGTTATTCTGTACTTATTTGGAATTTGATGGTGTTTGTGTACTGTTGCAGGTGATTACCAAAAAATCGATTTCGAGTGCACAGGTAGGCAATAGTCCTTCTCTGCTTTAAAAGCCTCACTAATTTATCATACGTACCGGTTCAATTGAGTTGTGTTTTCTGCAAACGGAGGATTTGTGCTAACTGATGGACTTGGTATTGCTTAGGGAGCAACATGCCAGGACTTTACTTATTAGTAAGTGTTATCCAATTTATAACATAGTGGGATAAATATTGGATGTCTGATGAGCAAAAGAACAGAGGTATCTTTGTCTTTTTATTATCGAGGACTCAATGGCACTTGCTTCTATATTGATTGGTCTTTGTACTCTATCTTTCCATTATTTTGTTGGTTGGTCATTGTGTGAATTTAGTTCTTCAAGACTCCAAACATTAATGGATCTCACATAACTCTTTATACATGATAAGCCTATTGTAGGAGTATGCAAGTGCAGAAAATTAATGGCGACGTGAAAGACTCGCTAATTCAAATGATCCTTCGATGGAAGGAACATAAACACACGCACACACAAATTAAGTGCTATACATGCATAGGTACTCATTTCTCTACACTTTTCGAAGATCTTATAAATCTTTTCCCATATTTATGCTTATTGTTTCTCTCAATGTACAATTCAGCAGGTGGTGTATATTTCCGTCAACCTTTATTCATACTTGCATGCTGAGAACTGTGGTAGAAGATTACTGGTGAGATGAGCAGTTCAATAATTCTACTCATACGTTGCTCTTAACATATGTCAGTATTAATATCGATGAGCTTTCCCGTAGGGCACTCACATTATTCTGCCCTGCATTTGTATGTCAGAATATAAGTTCACTATTGATTATCCACCATTGTGTTAAGCATTAGTAGAACCTATCTGTCATATAGGAGAAATAGAAGATGCCAACGAAGGGGTCAGACATGAAAAGTACAAGGAAGAACAGCGGAGAAATGGAGGATATTATGTTTAATCGCTTTGAACAAAAACCAAATCAGCCGTTACTGATGGTAGTTGTAAACAAGAATGTAAAATGCCATCATTGGACACCTAATATGGTTGTAAATATGTATCAAACTTTTTACATGTTTTATACGTTTTTAAAACCCGCAGCAACTTGCGGGCACTTATACTAGTATCAACTTAGCTTGATAAAAGATATATTTTATAATTAAGTTCGATAAGAATTCAATTGAAGTTTTTGTTTTCTTGTACAAACTCGGAGAGGAGGATTCGAACTTAAAACCTAGATAAATACTAAAAATGCTTTGATCTTGTTTTCTGGGTTTAACATAGGCTAAAGGCAGGATGATATATGTTGAACACTGCCAGGTGGCTGCTCTGTGGTTTTGAGTGGCCAAACTCAAATTCCTAATTTTATTAGTAAAGGAAAAGAGAAATCGGAGATCTACTAGTGGCGGATGGCGGTGGGCGGTGGGCGGTGGCTGGAACCGAGAAGATGAGCCATAAGCCAATACCTTTAATTTTTCATGTACCAACTGCGTTTTAAATTGAGTTTTCTGAATTTTTAACATTTTTAAATAATTAAATTTTGTTAAATTATTAATATTTAATTAATGTTTTAATCTAGTTGGCTGAGGAGTGGGTCTCACACTTTGAGCATTAAACAAAAAAAAATTGCAACAAATTTCTAGGTTAATGTATGACATTGCAATGTTAAAATATGAGATTTTAGTGCCCATAGTTGAGGTAATTTTGTAGAACTTACCCAAAAATACACATTAAAGATCAATATGAAGATAGTTATAACTTACCCAAAAAATATACATTAAAGATAAATATGAAGATAGAAGAAAGTAAACATATATACGATAATATCACATCATCACATAATCAATTTGGTCATTTTATACCTTCACAGCGATTTTATATAAAATTACCAAACACTCAAGCACTTTTACAATTAAAATTTACCAAATATTTTGTTGCTTTATTTTATAGTTGTTTATATTCGCAGTACAACAGAAGCAGTTTTTTTAAAACCGGGGAATACCAAACTAGCCCTTAGGAGGAGGTGCGTACGAGTGCGAGGGCTTCACCAGCATACAGGTTTGCGGATAATCTTAGCTTTCTGTAATCTCCATAAGTAAAGGGAACGTAAAGTCGAGGGTGCTCGGAATCCACCAATTCTGGAGGAGCTTCCACTCCTGCTTCCTCATCTGGTCCAAGTTGGAATGAAGCGATCGAAACTCGAATTCTTGCCTCCCGGAATTGTACTCTGTGCTTGACATTGCACAACCTTCCATTGCTCCATGCCTTTCTTAAAATAATAACATACAAGGAAATATGCACAAATGAAACAAGTGACAAACTTGTAGAATTTGAGGGACGCTAAACAGACAATATATTACCTGAGCGACATCCCCGAGATTAACAAGGAGAGTGCCTGGGCAAGGATCAACAGCTACAAGGGTGCCGGATTTGTCCATCACTTCCAAGCCACCGACAATTTCATCGTCTTGAAGAATGGTAAGAAATCCCGGGTCCGTGTGTAATCGTAGACCAGTGGATCCAACTGATTCGGGAGTGAAGGTGTACTTGTTCATCCTGAACTGGCAGGGCCACCCCTTGAGATAATCATTATCTGCCAACCCTAGACTCTCTGCCAATTTCTGCCCTATATCCAGAGTCTGCTCACACACTGCTTGAGCATACTTCTCCATCACCTCTCTGCCCGTTTAGTGATAAAAACAACTTTAAGACGAGTTTTTCTACTATGCATCAACGTACGCAATACATTGCTCAAATTAAAGACTAGATATAAATATTCTAAATGAAACCATCGTATATAACATTATGCTAAAGCACAATTTAACATGTGTGAGGAAACTTTTGTTTTTGTGTTTTTAACTATTGACAAATCACAATCGACATGTTTGTAGATGCTTTTGTTTTTATATTTTAAATCAACCCAGTATATGTTGTTATTTGCAGGTAGGTAACGAGGAATTGTTCCTTAATTGTAGGAAGCCAAGTGGCTTTTTAACATATATAAATATTGAAAAATCTATTAAGGTTGTAATTTAACTTCTTCTTCATTGAATAATAGTCGTCAATTGAGAATTAGAGTTTAGAGCTTCGAGTTTAGGGTTGACATGTAGACAAAATAACATAATGACTATTGACTAATCTAGAGATTAAGGTTCAAACAATCTTGTGATTCAACAATCCTCGTTTGAAATTTAACCTTAGCGGAGACTGAGCTACACTGGACCAAATAATTATGCGGAGTATTCGGGTTGTATTTTCTTGTTTTCTCTTAGCTAAAATTTAAGCAATAGTAAAACTACCAGACGATCAAAAGCTAACCTCTGGTAGGAAGAAGCATTTAACTGAGAGCAAAAGCTGTCCAAAGCCTGACGCGATCCCAAGTCGTAGAACCCCAAAGATTCATAGATAGGGTTGACTATGGTGGGAGCCCGGTATCCACTGCCAGATATCCCATCCTTGTTCTGCTTCTTGATCTCCATGGGCAGGTCCAGCAAAGATCTGACCACTGATTTCATCTCCAACATCAGAGCCGGTGGGATCATGTGGTTCACAAGCCTGAAGCATCCCCATGTCTCTGCTGCTTCCCTCAGCTTCCTGTACTCTTCTGCTTCTGGAAATTTTTTCAGGTCAATGGCTGGGATTGTCCTGCAGTCTTCCTCTCCACCTCCCATTTCTGAATTTTGGGCTTGTTTCTTATTTCTCCTCGTTTTTTTTTTTTTTTTATACAAACATTGAGAGAGAGTCAAACTCGAGACTTCGAATACTTTTAACTAACTGAGCTACTTTAGACTTTCAAATTCTACTTTTTATTTGGACATCCGGATTGGATTTGTTCATTTGGGATTGAATGACTGTACCATACGCATTTGTTTTTTACTAATTACGGTAAGATTAATTAAGATGTCGGCAAGAAGAAAAAGATTAGCACGCCACCCATGTTAATGCAAATCGTCAGCATCATTTTTTTTGCCATAAAATCATCATTAGCATGCATTTTCAATTTCTAATGTTTCGTTTCAATCGTCAGCATCATTTACTTAACACATTCACTATCTACTCCTTTTTTAGGTGTCATGTCCCGATCCCGACATACATTCAGGATCGATATGTAACATCACCAAATGTCCGTATATCCAACAACCCCGCCTCCGGGATATGTAATTCAACATTCGAATTGCGTAGTAATTTTTGTAAACTTTATGGTTGCATCTAACCTCCTCATTAGACTGCCTATGTACCCTAGAAAGGGATCAAGTCATTCGTAGTTCACCAGTTCAATAAACTCCTATCACTACTACAAGACATTACTACATACATGTAATCAGAATAACTACTAAAAACTGTATGCTTTCTTTGTATAGCTTGTCTAGGCATATGAAACATATATACATATAGCTTCAGAACGTGAATCATCAACTTGATTTTGGTTTCAGTATAGGCATGCGTATAGATATTTATGTTTAGTGGGACATCATTCTACCATTTATGAAAACAACATGATACGTATAAAGGTGAAGTACTTAATCGAATAGTAATCACACCAAATTGGATCTGTCAACCATTGATATCTATACCAGCCATTACATTACTAACCAATATACTTTAGATATAATTGTAATCAATTACTGTAAGCATACCCCTTTCAAATTGTAAACCAAAATACAAAGCCAATAGTACATAAAAAAGCAACAATATAACTATAATCTAATAATAACTAGCTGGACTAGTTATAGCAAATAAAATGGTTCGTTGGAACTAATCCAATTGGAGTATATAATGAAATTGAGTGAGGAAGATACGTCTAATTTGATACATAGGCAGATAAAACTAGCTGCCTATATTTTCTCTGTATAAGTAGTTATGTATTTAGCATATAATAGTTTGAAAACAACCACCTCACATAGAATCCAGTATATTTACAACTTCACTAAATCTGATAACATTTATTTGCACTAGTTAATCAAATAAGCATGCCAAACAAACCACAAGAACCTGACCCGCCGTATTAAATTGGACTTGAATTCAGAACATAGTTATATTCAACTAGAGAATAAGTAAAATGTTTGATATCAAGGAACTAGTTCTCAGGCCATAGAATAACATGCGATCCCTAAACTTTAACATTCGAATAATTATTCGTAACTAGTACACCAGCTAAACCATATCAATGATTCTTAATAATTAACATAGAAAACCAAACTGTTTATTCAAGTGCCTCAAAATAAAATATAAATTCCTAGCAGTCTTAAGCTCTTCATCCTCTGAAACAATGAAATAAAGACCTACCAATAAATCAGTGACCAAAACCAAGAGTCATATACTACTCTAATAATAGCATTGTCCAATCAAGTATTTAGCATCAGCATCTGACAATGCCATGGAAAAATATAGAACCACTCAGTAGTTTTAGAACTCTAATTATCTAGACAAACCTAGGCTACAACACATACAAATTCAGCAATGTTCTTCAAGGGTAGGACAAATATGGCACACAAAATAATCAAATGTATCTGGCCTCGATTATGGAATAACACTAATACTTATAAAACCAACCCAACTCTTACATTTCTAAAGAGACCCAAATTGAGGTTAGGATTTCAAGGTTCTTCCCTAAATATGCAACCAATCCTTATTGCCCACTTCCGATTCAACTCCTAAACAATACAACGAGTATCATCTCAAATATTCATACAGAATACCAAATTAAAATTCGAAATCAATAATTGATCCCAAAACTGAAAGTTAAGACCTTGGGAAAAACTTACGCTAGAGGAGAGCCTACGGGGAAAGAATCATTATTTTCACTTGGGTCGAGGCCAGGTTCCAGCGGGGTTGGCCGAAACTGGAGGAAAGTCGCCGGAAAACGTCAATATGTTTGGCCATTTTTTTCATCAACATAGCTTCTGGTAATTTGCTACGTTTGGTTCTCAAAAGCAGTATGATTTATCCACTATCTGCTAAACAAAATTATGTTGTGTAGAACTATTATTTATTCACTAGAGAAGTCAAAAAACAAAGCCACGCAACAGAGCACGGGTTTAACAGTCAGTTTAATACCCCACCCATATATATTTTAGGCACAAAACTACAGAATGCTCAAGAACATTTGGATTTAGCACCAAACGAAACATCAAAACTGAATAATCTACGATTCGAGAATCAAAAATTACATACCAGCTAAACAGCCAGCTCCTCTCCAGTTTGTACATTTACACCAAACACTTACCACCACAAGAATTTCATTAGAACTTTTTTTTTTTTTTCTTTTTTTTTTTTTGGGGGGCCAAAACATTTTCCCATAAAGTAGTATACCACCATTCCTACTCTTGTTCAAAAATTCAGCTTCCAAACCCAACATAAATCACACACAATCATAAAATTCAGATATGGGTAATTGAGAGGAAACAAATCAACCTAATGCCAAGAAAAAAAATCATAAAATTATCAAATAAATTGGGGTTCTGATCGGGAATTTGATTTGATTTGATCCAGTAGGATTCCAAAGCTGTTGACTCATCATCAAAATTCAAAAAAGAATTACAAAATTGAGAGATGGGTATTTTAGAAGAACTCACGTGGAAGACGATGTTCTCTTTGAGAGGCTGGAATCAGAGTCGACGAAATACAGGATTCTCCTCCTCGTTGCGTAAGGAGAAAGGGTGAGGTTGGGGGTTTTTTGAGATCGAAGGTGCGGAATTCAGTTCAGTCGTTCGCAATAACGAATACTACGAAAATATCTAATTAATATCTCATACATCTCCTGACTACTAAGTCAATAAAAGTCGACACATACCCTTAAGGACATTTTGATCATTTCAAATTTTTCAAAAATATAGTAAAATTATAGATGTGTTGTTAGAGATGGGCAAATACCCATTAGTTATGGGTAACCGCGCTTATCTGCCTATTTAAATTTGATGATTACAGTTATGGGTAATCGTTTAGATAAATAAACGGTTATGGGTATAACCATTTACCCATGAAATTTAAATGAACAATTATGGGTATTACCCGTGATTATAAACAGTACTCATTTAATCGTTTATTTTAATATATGTAAAACTAAAAATATAAAAAATATAAAAAAAATTAGTTTCTAACTAGGTTTAGCATCGCAAGATATAATTGGTTATAAAGGACCATATAATATATATATATATATATATATATATTTATTTATTTATTTATTTATGTCTCATTTGAGAGAAAAATATAATTGATAGAATGGGCTAATGTTTAATATATGTGATTGAATGTGCTAAAGCATTAGAGTGTTCGACAATTTTGTTTTGGAATCTTTTAGAGTTTAACCAATTCAAGATAATGATTACCTTGAGCATTTAGAAACATGTTATTATCAGATGATGCGTACATTTATATATTATCAGAGTTGTTAGAGATTGAAATGAAACGGGAAGCATGTACTATTCTGTTTATTTTCTTCACTAGTATCTGATAAAAGAAATGAATGTAGAGAGAGACAAATGAGGAAAACACGATTATTACTTTCTGTTTTTCATTTTTTTGTACTACCCATACTATACAAGTATACGTCTCTTTTAATGCATGTAAAAGGCTTACACATCAAAACAATAAAAACCAAACTTCTACTATTTAAGCAATATAATTTTGACTTCTATTCTTCCACTTTCCACCCTTAGCCATATGTGATTGTTTTCTTTGTATGGGCATTCACACCAATTTCACAACAAAAATCATTACTTGAGTATTTATAGTCTCAACAACTACTAATGTTAGTGAGAAACAATTCAAGAATTAATTACAAAAAACAAAAAGACACAACTTTGTATTACTTGGGCAAGTAACCACATTATTTTTCTTAAAAAATGCACAAAGTATGGAGAAATATCATCACAGTAATTCTCAAGCCTATCTTTTCTCCTTATGCAGCTACACCCCTCTCTCTCCTTCAATTAAATTTAGTCCACAACGCATTGTTAAACACGTTTCTGACACTGAGCTAAGGAATTGAATGTTTGTTTACTACAAAGTCGTTCACAATATTCATCAAGCAATCCAAGTAATCTATAAAACATGGCTTCAATTCCGATATTTTTTCAGCAATGATTGCATGAAACATTCACTCTAATTTTACGTTTTTTTTTTTTTTCAAATTATAGATTCAGCTTAAATTTATTGTTCTTATAATTTTGGTGAATTGAATATGCGTAAATAAAAGAACAAAAAAAATAGGATTTTTCAAACCATACACTCATAGGAGCCGCAACCTGAAGCTGCGCTGCTGGAGCCACCAAGTCGTTCCTACTCCAAAACCCTAAGGTCCAAAATAAAGCCGTTTTGCATCATCCTTCTTACGGATCTGAGTTGCCTGCAGTCGACCCGCAATCCAATTGGGCATATGCACCAAACCGTCCCACTTGTTTTTTTTCTTTTGGACCTTGTTTTATTTTTGGCTCACATGAAATAACAAGCCCATGGGTTAGGCCTTGTTTTTCACTTTTCCTTCTTAGCCCAATAATTGGATATATAATCTATTAACCCATTTACTTCTCATTTGTTGCACAACAACCCAAGAAACACTCTTTTAGGCCTGTAAACCACGACAGTCTCATATTTTTTATCATCACTCATTCTTTTCACACATAGATCCCGAAACTATTCTCATTCACTGCGTTTCTATATTGTGTTTGTTTGCAAGTATCATGAACATAGAGTTCATACTTAAACTCGAACTTGAAGTTTTGAAAATAAGTGCCATAGAAATTCGAAGTTTCATAAAACAATACATCCGTTAAAATCCGAAGTTCTTGTAGGTGATTTGTTAGGATTACATGTAAATGATGCTTTTAAAAACAACTGTAAAATTTAGTTTGTGCAAATTACTTTATTGTCCATAATTTTATTATATGATAGAAGACAAAAATGTTTTTTCAGCCTCTTCTAGTTGATAAAAAGAGCTTCATTAATATGTGTTTTAAATTAACTTCTTTCTTACAAATTTTTTATCTGTAAATAAACTAACTTGAAATAGGTCTAATTTTATGGAAATAGATCTTCTCCGAATCCCTTCCACCAAATCCACCTAATCAATAAATTCAGACCCTTGAAATTTGATCAAACGGTTACAAACAGGGGGCCCCTTTAAAAGTTAGAATAACTTTAGCCGTTGGACTAAATTTCAAGGATCCGAATTAGATAATTTGGTGGATTTGGTGGAAGAGACTCTTTCCCAATTTAATGACCTAACAATTAGATTAGTCCAATTTTTAGTTATTTTTTATTTAGGTCCATGAATAGGACTCCATGTGTCAGCACTTTTTGTTGTTAGGGTGATACTTTTCATTGTGATTACTATTTTACTTTACTATAGCTATTCAATGAAAAAAAAAAAATAGAAAATAATACGATCGGTACTTTACTAGCTACTCCCCTTAGAGATAATCGCTAAAAAGATAGCAACTAATAGGGAAAAAAGTCGCTAGCTTCATACCGATCCCTTCCTTTTCATTTTTTATTTTAGTTTGTTTTTTTATTTTTTATTTTGTTAATGTTTCTTTTATTTCTCTTACTATAACAACAAACTATCATATTCGTGTTTTTCAAAATATATTTTTTCTATGCAAAATATATTATAAGTCATTTTTAAACACTTATAATCGATGATTTAAGACCCAAATTTAAAGATATTTTTCTATTTTCTCACTTTAAGAATCAATAAAAAATAGTTTCAGAACCTAATAATCGATAGAATCACATCCAAAAGTTTTGCAATATTTTCCTTAACTCCAGTGCAAAATATTTCTTAAAGCTAAAAATTTAAAAAAAAAAAATTTCACAAAAAACTATGTGCTATAAGCCGAAGTTAGAGTCATTCTATTCGCACCACATATTTCCTAAAATTAATTTAGGACATTTCCAAAATTTCGGACACCTATAAATCTCTTGGGGGGCCTCGCTATTAGCTATATTTTTTTTCTATTTTTTTTTCTCAACTCAGGTACCCTATTAGTCGGAATAAACCCAAATTTCGACTGATCTTTTACAATCTAAACTACCTATCATATAAGTAGTTTTACAGTCTAAACTACATGTCATATAAGTACTTGTACAAGCTAAACTACCTATCATATTATAATATTAGTCGGCATAAACTTAGATTTCAACTGATCTTTTATAATCTAAACTACTTATTATATAAGTACCTTTATAATCTGAACTACCTGTCATATAAGTACTTGTACAAACTAAACTACCTATCGTATTGTAACTACCTATCATGGTGGAATAAGGTAATTTACATGATTCTAACAGTAAGATGTAGTCCTCCATCTTGGTAATGTTAAAAGCCTCCAAAGCTACCAAAATCAATGTCAAAAGCCTCTTGAGCAATTACTTACATAAGACAATCTATGTATAATACTCGCAAATCATGTAGACTAGAATCATGTAACAAATACCAGCAAAAATGAAGCTTACTGTTGTAAACGACTCAACAAAAACATGTAAAATTACTTGTAGTTCTCATAGTTTCATGCGAATTCAAATTCAAATTTGGATACTAATCTGCAGGAATCACAAGGAAAATTCAAAGCAGTAATCGGATAGAGTTTTTGATGAAACGACGAGATTTGATAAGTAACTTTTTTTTTTTAATACAACGACATATTTTACACTAAAAAATATGAGAGTTTTTTTATGAAATAACGAGATTTGATGTGTAACTTAAAGTTCCATGTTAATTCTGGAAGAGTCATGATAAAACATTCAACGACAGTCGGTGCAATTTTGTTTTCAAACTATGGTCACTTTAATTGCTCTACTTATTAGACCAGCAATACATTAAACTCATATCAAAACATGCGGATCAGGATCCTTTCATGAGCAAAGGGTGAGGATCCTCCTGACCAAACTCATCGAGCCGTTGAAATTTTATCCAATGGCTACAAACAGGAGGCCCCTTTAAAAGTTATAATAATTGTAGTCGTTTGATAAAATTTCAACGGCCCGATGAGCTTGGTCAGGAGGATCCTCACTAAGGATAGGCAAATACCCATTGGTTATGGGTAACCGCAGTTATCTGCCCATTTAAATTTGACGGTTATGGTTATGGTTATAACCGTATGAAATTTAAATGAGCGGTTATGGGTATTACCTGCGGCTATAAAGGGTCATATAATATATATATATATATATATATATATTTATGCCTCACTTGAGAGCAAAAATATAGTTGATAGAATGGGCTAATGTTTAATATATGTGATTGAATATGCTAAAGCATTAGTGTTCCACAGTTTTATTTTGGAGTCTTTTGGAGTTTTGACCAATTCAAGATAATGATTACTTTGAGCATTTAGAAACATGTTATTATTAGATGATGCGTACTTATATATATATATATATATATATATATATTTAATTGGCTTCGAGTTTTCAATAAATATTTGATCCCAAAATTAGAAATCGATTAAATGGCTTGGACCGATGAGCATATGTTTCTAAATAAAAATTCAAATATTTATCAAATTAGCCTTTTAGCAGACTGATGCGTACTTACATATATATATATATATATATATGTATATGTATGTATGTATGTATACAAGAATATTAATTAATCTACAACCATGCATGATTCTTGTAATAGATTGACCGTCAAATAATTGAGAGACATCGCATATATTCATAAATAATATTGTTGTTAATATAAAAATACATGTTAAATGCACTTATAACGGTATTTAATAGCTAGAAAAAAGAAAATTATGACAAATTTCTTTTTAATTTTCAAGTTGTCAAAAAAATAGATAGACGGGTAAAAAAAAAAAAAAGTAAACGGGTACGCGGTTATGGGTAAATGGGTATGCGATTATGGGTATGGTTATACCCATTTATGTAAATATCCAACGGGTAAATGGTTATGTGGATAAAAGTTTAAACGGTTATGGATAAATAACCGCGGTTATCCGCCCAACATAACCGTTACCCATCCCTACATGTTGTAACATTAGGAATGGCAAAAAAAATTGCAAAAACCAATAACGATAGACGTTAACCCCCTTCTCCCTTCCTCCAATCCTCGCAAAGCGAAGGGTCTTGTTGGCTTGGGGTTGCTAGAAGACTTTCACCATCTAACATATATATCAGCAGAGATGATATTCTATATTTTCGATTGCATATATGACTGTTAGATGGTGAATATATTAACATACAGTAGCTAGTCCCTTAATTTAGAGGGCAGAGAAAATTGGAATATATATTTACTTTGAAGTACATATATAGCTGAAGGGGATTAAAATCATTATCCTTTTCGAATATTTTATGGGTTAAGTGAGATGCTTTGAACGTCAATAATGTTAGGCATACCAAATTTTGTGACAAGCCTAATATTTGGATGTTCACAGAAAATTCTCTGAGAATATCTATTTAGCAAATTAGATAAAAAGGTTTAGTAGAATGTATGATGAGAAAATAGCAGAAAATTATAAAAATATCAACTAAGCTTGATAAAAGATATAATTTATAATTAAGTTCGATAAGAATTCAGTTTTTTTTTTTTTCTTGTACAAATTCAGAGAGGAAGATTCGAACTTAAAACCTACAAGATAAATACTACAAATGCTTTGATCTTGTTTTCTGGGTTTAACATAGGCTAAAGGCAGGATGATATATGCCACCTAAACTTGCCATATACATATCACATTAGCAAGGGGTGCGTAGGTAGGAGTGCAAGGGCTCCATCAGCTTTCAATTTTCTGGAGAGTTTGAACTTGCTAACTCTATAGACTCGTTTTGTAATGTTTTTAAACACCTGAAAGCAGTTTTAAATATTTTTGGAACCAAATCTTAGTAAAAATGCAATTTAATTATGGAAAAGCACTTGAAGTGCTTGATGCTAAAAGCACACGTTGCTTTTAGAACACAAAAATATTTTATCTAAAAGAACCTTCAGTCATTTAAAAGCACTTGTCAAACGAGCTCTAGAACATTTGTAAACAAAAGGGACGTAGAGACGAGGGTGATCCTAATCCACGAGTGCTGGCGGAGCTTCCATCGCCTCCTCCTTTGGCCCGGAGAAAAATGGACAGCCTCCCATTGCTCCACGCCTTGGTATAAAACTATCAGCAACACGGTGTTATTAAATAGGATTATTATTGTAGAAAATAGTCACGTAATACCTGAGCAAAGTCTCCAAGACTGACAAAGGGGAGCGCCGGGGCAAAGGATGAACAGGCACAAGGGCACCAGATTTGTTCATCACTCCTGCAACTGTCTTTTTTATTTTCTTTTCACTTTCTGTTGGCTGGGATAAAATCTGAGTGAATTGTATTTTCTTTGAAGCAAAAATATGGAGAAAACAAGCATGAAAGACGAGGACGAAACTTCGAACTCCATATACAAATAAAATCAAGAGTATGTCATATATACACACCAGCCACACTGTACAACTTATATCCTCCTAACCCGGTTACAACCTTTTTTCATCACAACACAATGAGAAGCAGAGAGTATCAACTAGAACACAGAACCAAATCGTATGCTCGCTCGATGTGGTCTACCCTGCCGAAACCCTAAAGCTCACATTCCAAAATTCTGCCTAAACTTGTAATGCTAGAATTTCCAACTACAAGTTTCGCCAATCTAGTTTCCGCGAAAAGTTACATGGAATGGCGGCCATCTCTATCTTTCACCGGTCGCTCATCCTGAATTTCTTCCAAATCTTCGTCGTCTCCTCTCTTGCCTGCTTGTTCTTTCCAATATGCAACCAACTTCTTCAGCCGCATGATTTCTTTTGAAGAAACGTTTTTGCTTGGATCATTCACGATTGATCGGACTCTTGATGCATACCTGAATTTAGCATAAAGGTGTGAAATTATAGTAGTCATTACCTTTTGGGAGAAACATTAAGACTCAAATTATTTGTAATTAGAAAAAGTAAATAATAAAGAGAAGTGTGACATACATTAGAGAATTGTACGTCTCGTCCACATTTGATTCAGCAGGAGAAACGTTTACAAACATAAGCGTCTTCGCGTTACCACCAAGTGAATCACTCATTAGCATCGTTAACTTATGGTTCCTGTACGGTATGTGTTGACCACCGGAAGATAAAGAACTAATAACATCCCCAAGTGCTGAAAGTGATTTGTTGATACTTTGCGCTTCTTTAAGTTGACTACCTGAAGAGCCCGACTTCTTTATTCTTTCCGAACCAGCAAGATCCACAAAACTTAGCTACACATGATTATGTAAAAGAAAGATATTAATGAATATAATTTCCAAACAAATATTCAACTAGACCTGAAGTGAATGCAAACCAATGTGCATCACCTTAATTATTTATTTTGAAATATATTAATATACCTTTCCTCTTGCAACAGATTGGGTTTGAAGGTTGGTACTTTCGATGACAACAGAAACTATGAGGTGTGATCTTGAACTTTCATCGTTCATCTGAGTTCCAGCAGTGTGCCTTCGTTCTGAACCTCTTTGAATGACACTTTTCAGTTCGTCATGTGATGAAATTGAGAGAACTGTTACATTCTCAACCGAGACCATACCCTAACATTACAAAATCAACCATTGAGCGACCTTAAAGATGTGATACTAATCAACAGATCAGAATAAAAAAAATTAAATAACATGAATTAAGGATCAAATGTGATTAACCAAAAATACTCTTCACAGTCTAATAAAAAAACACTGGCCTCGTAGAATTACAAAGTATTACAGACATGTGAAGAAATTACCTTTGAATCTTTCTTGATCTCCAATTTCAAACGCTTGGCATTTTTCGGTAAGAGAAGGTCTACAAGTGTATCTTGATACAACTCCAACATGTATGCCTGCGTAAAAAATATTTACTCATTACCATTACCAAGTAGTAATTGAAAAAAAACCATTACCAAAAGCCTAAACAACAATGAATGTAATTCATATATTTCTTAGGGTGTTAAACTATATATGATAAGACTTCTTGTCCATCTTGTATTTTTTTCCCATTTTCTTCTATTTATATGGGACGTTTTTATTGTACTTACTGTATAGAAGTTTCCCATGTTCATAGGAAACGAAAGCAATTAACAATCTTATCTTGCCCTTGCAAGGGTTTTAAGTGGCGACCACTAAAATTGATCAATGTACAGAACCAACAAGATAATACCTTTAATGAAAATGAGAATTTGTTGTTCTCTCGCCTCAATATTTTAAACAACTCTGCAGTAGCTCGTGGAGTAAGTCCAGGATTAGTTTCTGAACCGTATATGGTATATGTCTTTCCGGAACCGGTTTGCCCATATGCAAATATGCACACATTATACCCATCAACTGCAGATTGTACCAAATACTGCATTACGTGCACGTAAAAAAAACATGTTAGAAATGATTTACAAATGTATATTCATAGCAATTAAAAAAATTAGATCTCTTTCGATGAAACCATTTAATACAAAAAAAACCTTACCCTTGTATCTTCAAAGACATCCTCTTGGGTGGCATTACCATCAAATACACGATCATACATATGTTGTTTCAATTTGTCATCTTTCCATGGATGTTCAATTGTGAACTCATCTACACTTTTAACTGTATCTCTTTCCTTTTCATTAATTTCTTTTTCACTCAAGGGTCTCAATCGACAGAAGACTCTAATCTTGCCTTTCATATCTGAAAAGTACATAGAATGGAAAAAATATCACGTCAGGGATACTAAAGGGACAGAACAAAAGGCTTACTTAAATATTGCAAAGATTTCAAGGAATGACAACCTTCTATGGTATTAAAATATCGCTTCCTCAAAAGTTGTTCTTCCTTGTAAAGCACTTCCATCTCAGCTAGCTGAGCTCCTTGCATCCTCAAGATGGCAGCAGTTTGCTCGTTCTTTCTATCAATGTCCTGAAATCAAACATGAATTTGTTGGCAATGTTTACCATTTTTGGAACCTTGTACATAAAATAAGAGAGTTTTAACAAAAAACCCATAGTAGTGTTCACTTTAACGAAAAACCACATTTTTACACTAAAAAGTCAATCCTGGTACTATTCACTTTACCCTTTATTTTGTCCTTATCATTAAAACTCAAAGTTTTCAAGCCCTTTTCATTGGTTTTCATATAAAATAAATACAACAAATGAAAGAAAACGCTTTATTAAAGAATCTATACAGGACCATTACCTCTTTCATTTCTCTCAGTTCCTCCAATTCCTTTAAGCTACTTTGTAATTCAGCAACCTCAGAGTTTTTGGTGGCAAGAGTTGACTTAAGACCTGCTAATTCTTGGTTAACTCCTTGAAGCTTCTTTTCAAGTTCAAACACTTGAAGTTTTAACGCTCTGCGCTCTTGCTCAAACTTTTTCCCGACAGAATCAATCTACATAATGAACACTCACTAAGATATTTGATTCTTCTATTGGGCACCAGAAACCAGAAACAAAGACATTACAATCATTAAAAAAGAAACAACGAACCAACACCAAATTAAGATGTCAAGAAAATTACCTCAACAGATTTAGTCTTTTCGAGGCCAGAAAGTCTTTGCTCCAATGATATTTTTTCATCAGATAGTCTCCTTATAGTTTTGTCTTTTGCTAACAATTCCTCACCACGAAGCTTTATCTCGTCTTCGAGCTTCTGCAATGCCTGTGTAAGATATTGTTTTCAAAATCCCTTGTGCCTTATCATAAACCACTTGATAGAACCAACTTAACTAAATTGATACCGAAATGTATTTTCATAAAAAACTTACGTGGTTAATTCCACCAACTTGCTGTGTTTTGTTATTTTTCTCTGCCAATTGATTACCCAAGTTTTGCAGCCTTGCTTCCAAGCTTTTTTTCTCTAGCAGTGCAGCCTAATAGATTTGAGAATCCAGTTAGAATATTTAAAGCACATTGAGTGCAAATACAATTAGTCACACTGACCTGAAGTGCCATATCCTTTTCATCACACAATGATCTAAGCCTATCATGATCACATCTAACTTCTGTCAGGTTTTGCTTCTCAAATGCCAAGGATTGCTTCAAACTTTCTAATTCTTCTTGCATGTTTGCTTCTTGTTTTTGCTTTTCACGCAATTCTTCCAGCAACTGAATTAACATAGTTTCATTCAACTACCAGGTAATAGCAGTAATCAACAATTCAGCATGTTAAAGTCTTATTTTCTTACTTGATCAGCATTCCTCTGAGACTCTTCAACAGCTTTTGACAAATCCTGTATACGTTTTTCATAAACTTCATCATCAGAGGGCTTAACATTGTTAGAAAGATCTCCGTTTGTTGAACCACTAGCAGCAGGCCGAGCTTTAGAGTAGCGCCTCAACATGACATCATTTATGTGTGTTTGAAGAGCAACACAAATTTCTTCACCCTGCATGGAAAGGAGAAATGCACATAAGTCAAAGAAACTTTAGTGAAGCGGCCTAAAAACCTCAAAAACAATGTATCAACAAACAGATAAGTTAGAGAGGTGCCAAAACCTGCTTAGTTTCAAATTGGAAAATGTGAAGAACACCTGCAACTCTCATCTTAAAGAAAACAGCAGTATTGCTACTACCAAATTGCATTATGTCTCTTAGCTCAGCTGAATGTAGATATTCCTTTGGAACTGGACGGAAAAAATGAACCTGTGGAATGTGATATCATAATGTCAATACAACGTTAAAACGAGGTGCGCACACACACATATATTATATTTGTATATAAAGTTATAAACTCACCCCTCTTTTGTTGATGCCCAAAATAATTTTCCCTGGAAGAAGTCCAATGGGATCATCAATCTTGCGAACACTGAAGAAGACTGAATTCCCATAAGGAAGTTGTCTCAGTATTCTCAAAAATTGTTGTCTTGCATCATCTTTTGTCAAATTTTCCTACAATACAACAGCAATGTCTTATACCAAAAGTATTATCTCCTTCAAAATAAAGACGTATGATTGAGGATGCATGCACAAGGAGTCACAGGCAACCAAATCAGATAACAAATTTGTATTTCTTTTTAAAAGTAACTGTACATAAGAACTCGTGCAACAGATTTCCATGCATATCAACTTAAAGTTTTACCACTCTGGTAACTTACCATTGAATGGTAACGAGAAAGAATATCAAACTCCCACTCTCGTTTTGCTCGTGTGATTGCGATTTGTCTGGGTAGGAAGCGTTCCAAAAGCAAATTCCAGTCACTGAAAAATATTAACCTCAAGTTAAGATTGAAAGACCAACTATAAACGTGACATGATCTAAAACAATAACAGATAACAAAAGGCCAAATAAAATATGGAACAAAAAGGTAGCAAGAAACTGACGTGCATGATTCAGGATTGCGCAGAAATCCGATGTCAACCAAGATTTGCAATGCAGACAGCTGGGCAGCATCATCTCTTCCAACAGGATAATTTCCCAGTATATAATCATGTTGCAACTATAACATAACAACATATAAACAAACTTTGGAGGTTAATCGCAATAGTCTAATACTACTGTAGAAGTTAATCATCAAGATAGAAATCATTATGTTCACAAATTCAACTTGAGCTCTTGAAAGCAACGTTTACCTTGGTGTCATTCAAAAAGCCATGTCAAAACAACAGGTCAACAAACAATGCTCAATTTCTTTTTTAATGAGCATCACAAAAGAAAAACAACAAAGGATTAGGAAGCTTAGTAATACTTTTATTGAGATTACGCACCTGAACGTAGGACAACTGCACAAACATTGGATCTGTGACAGCTTCATCCGACTCCCGAAACAGCTTTTTCTTAAATGTCAGCTTGCAATGCAATATTTCTCCTTTACTTCGATCCTTTGCGGCCTTGAGTTCTGCTAATAGATCCCCTATGTACTTGTTGTCATCTAACCCAATATACTCCTCTGTGTGACAAGAAAATGCATATCAGATAATGTTCAGTGAACCCTAACATAGGAAACCACAAGGTTGAAAAATAAAAGAATACCATTTCCAGGATCAGGTGATTTGGAGCCAGTTACAACTTTGCGGCATTCAAACAGACTAAAGCTAGAAAGAGCTGAGAGTTTAATTACCCCTGCAAGTTCCTGAACGCGACATGGAAAACTATCAAAATCATAATCAAGAAGACAGATGTATGACAGAACAAGAATAAAGAAACTTTTAACAGTAAAAAACTGGGGCGTATTATTATTACAATCCTATGAGTACTTAAAGGTGATGGATCGTAATTGCAAATCACAAATATAAACTAAACAGATTCAGTGGCAAAAGACCTTGTGAGTTAGACAAGTCAGCAACACAACTGTTGTTACTCATCATACTGGATAATTCAGAGTCATTATGCCATAGTCAGAAGTAATGACTTAAAAAAAGGTTCAAGTTATTAAGCGATTGAAACAAAATTTCTTAAATATCAGTACTTCAAATGTGTGTCAAATACACCCAGTATGTTGCTACTGTATCTGTATCACCCTAAATATTTACTTTACCAGAAAGTTGTTTGCTTAAAATGTGAATTTTGTGATGACCTACCAAAGCAAAGGCTTGCCAGTTGCCACTATGTTTGACCGTAAGGCACATGTAATTCTGCTTTGCATATTCAACTCTTTATTTTTGTGATATTTTGTCCTTTTACTCTTTGGTACCCAAACAGATAGTGCACATTAAAGTTGATAAGCCTACCTCAACAGCATCGGCCACTGTTGTTGCCATTTCATATGTGATTTCTTCAAAGGTTTCATCCAAGAAAAACACAATTGTAGTTAGCTTTCGACCAGTTAAAAGCGCTTCAATCTCCTCGCGGCCTGGTATTGTATGCCTAGGACCAGCCTTTACAGAACGCTTCAAGGCATTTAATGTATTAATTGCTAGAACTCGAACCTCAGAGTCAATATTCACACCATGTGCTACATTGTGGACATACTCGGACAAATACCCCCCAATGTCCTTGCTAGGAGGCATAGAGGATGAACACAGATACATTAATTCCCATGCTTTGATCAAATATTGCCTGTTATAACAAAACCAATTAAGTCAAGTCATGGAGCATAAAATTGAAAATAGTTTACCACTGCCTTTTACACACCCAAATCTTATCTATCATAGAAACAAAACACTATGACTGAAAAGAAAACGATGCATACTTATCGGGATTATTTCTTGTTTGTTTTGAAATCTGAACAAAAAGTTCATCCCGAAGCTCTGTCCGCTTCAAGGTTTGCTTAAACATCTTTCCAACAAGCTCTATCCGTTCATCTAAGCTTGCTGGAGTAACTCGATCATCAGATGAATCAACTCCCATGTACTTCAAAATGATTTGGAACAGTTTCATTGCCCGGCTTACCAGGTCACTATTGATTTTCAGTAATGATGTAGGTATTGGATCCTGTAAAAGCACATAATTTTAGCTCTTCAAGAGTTTTATAGTTTAATAAATAGAAGTTTTATGAAACATAGCATGTAGTTACCTTTTGGTAGCACAGCATATCCTCAAAAGTGAACCTCTCTCGGGGTTGTGGACCAACGGATTTTTTTGTAAAGAATCCACGTTTTCCAGCGGACTGAATCTGTTTCTGCATCAACCTCAAAAATCCTTCTACCTATTTTCAAAAGAAAATAAATTATATAAAGAACATAACGACTGTTGATTGCCCTAAAACAATGAGCAATAAATATTATATGTATTCGAGTAATTTAATTTCTGGAACAAAAAAGACTACAAAGGAGAATGACCACCGAAATGTATGCTTGTACATGTTGTGTAGGTGTGTGTGAGCATATCCCGTTGATTATTAGAGAATATATGCTCCTACCTGAAATCTATCAATCAAGGGTATTGCACCAGCAAGTTCTGCTGGGATGTCCATGGACAAGGTCCTTGGTGTTCTGCAATTAACAAGTGGAGAAAATGCTGACAGTCAAAGGCAATACGACGTCATAACAAGTAAACTGCTATCCGCTTATCAGCTTTGCAAACCAGAATGTTGAAGAACCCATCTTTTTTATTGTACCATTATGAATTAGACATCATGACCGATTTCAAATCACAATTTTACAACCAGAGATAATATGTCATGCCTCACTCTAGATTATGCTTCCAAATAAAACAGGTAAGCGGAACAATGAAGGCATTCAAAGCCCAATTCAAAGACACGGGCTAAGAGGAACATGCGAGTGAACATACTGCGGTGGCAAGCTGGAGCTGTCACTGTCATAATCATCCCCATTTGCAAATGCAGCAGCAGCAGAGCTGTGTAAAGGAGTTGTATTCCCATTGCCATTGCTAGAGCTAAAAGAAGACCTACTTGTTCTCACACTTTGCGCCATTGACGGGTGCAGGTCCATTGTCATTTCAGTGCAACCCCTACAGACAGACACGCACACACATACTTCCCAGAACCAGCTTCAGTTCCTCAAATCATTCAGGTACGAGGTTATCTTCCTTAAATTCAGAACAACACAAAAACCAATGCAACAAAAAACCAAGTAAAAAACACATTCATACGAAACGTTACACAATCAAAACACAATCTGTTCATCCTAATAATTTCCAGAAACCTCCAAAAACCAAAAAATAAACACATAAAGCCGACAATTTCCATGGTAAGGCAGCAGCATCAAGCCACTAACGACCAAACCCGGAAAATAAAAAGCCTCAAAAATAAAAAAAGCTCCAACCTTGATGAAATTATTGCCTGCCTGCAATTGGGTCTTTGGATTTTGCCTCTGAGGAAATAACAGATCGAGAGACAGAACGAACAGAGAACAAAAAAACCCAGAAAAAATCAAATGTAATGTGACATTCATAAATCGATTAAACAGGGAAGAAGAAGGTCTCTTTCTCTCTGACACTGACCTCTGCAAACATGAACGATCGGAAAGAGGAGAGAGAGAGAGGGAGGAGAGAGAAAGAGATCTGAGCTACAAAAATAACCCAGCCACACCACTGCTTCCAGTGAAAAGCAGAGAGAATCACGGGACTATTATAAATGACAAAGGGCACTTACGTAAATTCAGCAAACATTTATTTTTTAAAGCTTTTGCTTTTTTTATTGCGCGTTCGGTGCGACTTTGTGTGCATTTCAATTCTTCGAGTTTTCCGAGCACGAAATGACCATTATATCCTCGTACCTCTACCCATATGCAATTCGAATTTTTCGTTTTTTTTTTCCCGAGGAGGAGGGTGTTTTTATTGGTACGATGCATATAAAATTTGAAAAGGTATGGAAGGGTATTATTGTAATTTAGGGAGTGTCCTGGGACGGGAGGGAGATGCCCCCCAAACTTTGGGCCTTCCACCCGCTAAAGCTTGTACTTGTGGGAAGTTTTTTGGTGATGGGCCCATCCCATCTAACTTTATCCTTACAAGTTTCCTACTTTAGAAGCCAACAATTTCACTTTTGTTTACGGTTTTACTTAAAATTTACAAAAAATGAGAGAAAAAATAACAATAATATCTTTTGTTGAAGCTCAATTAGTACCTACAAATTTGGATATGATTCTAATTTTTAAATGATTTTTATTTTGTTTGCCCATTTTTAATGTCCAAGCATAATTCACAATCTAACAATATAACGTCACATGTTAATATCTTTGAGTCTTCCTTACCACGAAATGGTTGATTATTGTGACTTATCCATCAGCTGGTCATTTTATATATATATATATATATATTAATAAAAACACTTATTGTCAACCAAAATCCTATGAAATTACCAGTTTAACCATCTAATTAAAACAGAACATGAATAAGAAATATGGGGCAGAAATGTTATTTCACACAACCAAATTTTGCTGTTTTTTTTTTTCAAAACCTCACCTACATGTAATCATAACAAATCTTTAATTTAAAAAAATAATAATAAATAAAAATAAAAATAAATAAAAACTTCTCATTCCCACATTCTCTATCACTCTCTTCCTCTCTTCCTCTCTCCTTTTATTTCAAAGCCAAAAATAAAAATTATTCTCACACATTTTGTGTGTGCCCATATGCTAGTGTGTGTGTGTGTGTCTCTCTCTCTCTCTCTCTGTATGATAAGACATTGTTTAATCATAACATTCTCAATTAGGACTACATTAACTTAGTATTTTGTAGTTCTTAAAAGATTCTTCTACCAATTTAAAACTTAGTAATTTGAAACTTTAGTTGTGGTTTTAATAACAATTTCATCATGTTCAAGTTCAATTAGTACTACATGTTTGGACATGATTTCACTTTTAAATGATCATGATTATATTTTTGCCTTTTGAGATTGGTTCAAATAGATTTAGAGTCTAACATCATAACAAGTTAAGTATCTAATAACACAATATCGTTATAATCATAACATTTACAGTCATACGTATTTTTGTCAATTTTACCGCCTTACAAATCTACCAATTAAGAAAATGTCATATTTACCCTTTGTCAATGTCAAAAGTATAGGAACACCCAATGCCTTAGAAGGTCAGAAAATTCTCAAGTCATGCCATGTCCCATCGGGAGCCTGCATTTCAAACAAGGAAATTGGGTCCCTATTTATTATATTTTTACAAAAATGGATATTCAAAGTATCTTGCTTTGCTATATAGAAATGCCCCTAATGTCAAGAAGCCGGCATTGCCGGCAAGCATGCCAAATGTAGAAGAAGAGTTTAATACAACTCACGAGTATTGCCACTTGATTGACTTAGCAACACAAATTTGGATATATGAATTTATTGCTTAATTAATTAGATTTGCGTTTTTTTTCATATGACAACTACGTAGTCACCAAGTGATCAAAAAATGCATAGTCACTCAATTTTAATTTTAATCTCAGCTCTCAACGACAAATCTAAAGTTGGATGATCATAAATTTTTAGTTACGAAAAGTAAAAATGAAACTCTTCTGTATAAATGTCATAAATGACAGAAATAAACAATAATAACCCAGAAAGTAGAACAAGTCAAGGAGCTTAAATTGCTATAAATGAAATCATGAGAAAGTTGAGAAGTGGGTACGTCTCACAAACAAATGGGCCTAATGAGAACAACCAAGTAAAAGCAACCAACTGCACTCCATCTACATCAAATTATTTATAGCAGCAGGTGAAAAGAGGGTCCATTTTCTGCTTCTTTGGACAAATTGCCCTCCAACAATGATGGTACCTTTTAATTTAAGCAAACCCTAATCATCACATTTTGGAACCACCTAACTTATTATTAGTCCGTCTCCGCTTTCTAAATATTGTCCTATAATTGTAAGAGACTTGTAGCTCAAGTAATTAAGAGTTGCTAGTTTTGCGTCCAAATGTTTTAGGCAGAGCAATGCCTTATTATCTTAATATCCAACAAAACATATTCAGCAACAACAAAAATTTGGTCGAAATGTGGAGCAACATGTGGAATGAGCCCACAAATGTTTCTTTTTCCCTTTAAAAAGGACATCTTCTTTAGATGGTTTAACGTTTAAGGTCAAAGTGTTCTTGTAGCTTGTAGTGGACACTAGTGAAATAGTGCAAAAAAAAGGAAGTTATTCGTTAAAAATAAAAAATAAATAAATAAATAACCAAATTCCAAGTTCAAATTTGTAGACATGATAACAATTGGTGTCTAAAATATGTATGAATTTGTTGACATTTTCGTCAAAAAATCAAGAATGGATATGAAAATGAGGGGGTAAAATACAAAATTCACCCTATATTGGCGAGATATAGGAAAATCAATGAATATCGATGATATTTAGTATGTAAGTTACCGATTCATTATAAAAACTTTGCAAAAATCCATTGCATATTTCGAACTTTTGAAGAAAAAAAAAATTGAGAAAATCTTATTTAATTTCGACTAAATTTGAATAAGTTAATATACCCACCCCATTACAAATTTCCAGAATTATCGTCGAAGGCAATCAATACAATCGAACTGCATAAAAGAATACAAGTCTTGTAAATCAACTACAAACTAACCATTCAACTGCATCTCTATACTGCCATGCCATGAAAGAAGCTGGCCGGATCCTGTTCCTTAAGCGGAGCCAGAACTCAGTGATTGAATGCTGGAGTACAGGGATATGCTTCTCGTTCAGCACTATGTCTTACGATGGTCGGATTGCATTTTTCCAACTGTTGGACATGCTTCGAAAGACAACTTATGCTAGCAAAGATTTTGATCCTTTGACTTTGAAGAACTTTTAGCAAAAATCCGTAAGCGCTCCATGACGTCTTGGATTTTCTCTGAAATTGCACTGTACAGATGTTTTTGCGCTGCCTCGTCCAAACCACCAGGGCAACTGCTTGGCCATCCTAACGTAGAATGTGAAGTCTTACGAGACAGAGAGGTTGCCATCAGCCTCATTTCAGGAAGGTCCAATTCCATTGGCTCGCCAACTATTATCTTAATTTCCTTATTCCATAACGGAAACGGAGGCCTTTTACCACGATGAAACTTATCAGGCATCACCTGGAAATGTAAATATTAGCAAATGGGAGATGAGCAATGTTCAACAAATGTGTCATAAAAGATTGGTAATGGTATAGTTAATATAACCAAAAATAAAAGATCACAAAAACGTAAGGTTAATATGTATTTTACTTTCTGCGTAAATGGATAAATTCCGTCATATGTCTAGTCCAGTTAACTAAATCATTGTTCAGGACTTCAAAGAGTAAGACGTGAACACCAAAAAGTGTATCAAATTGTTGAATAGCACAGCAGAAGTTCATGATATCAGCTTATTTCACCAGATTTTCTGGCACGGCTTAGGTAACTTCAACATATGTAATAAAACATACGTCAGTAGTGCAATATTTTCATAACATATTGAATGCATAACAGAAACAGTTTTAACTGCCACGTTCACGAGTTTCAGTGGGTTTTGAGCCACACCAAAATTCTAATATCCCGAAAATGTAAAGCTGAATTTTCTACAATGATATTCTGTGTAGCAATCATTCCCAAACTACACAGCTAGCCATTTGGACGTCAGGTTACAATGTTATGGCTCAAGTTTTCAGTCAATTGATCAGAACCGCACTACAAATGACAAAGAGTATGTTGGATAGAGAGAGACAAGGAAATGGAAGTCTGAATCAATCAAGGACCGTCGTGTTAAATGGATGAAACTAATACTGAAGTTCACGTCATACTTTTCACAGGGAATAGAAAAAAGAATATTCATCAGATAACTTGTGATACTGTTGTACATAATGTATGGTTTATAAAACATGTCAGTACTGCATTTTGTTGGGGTCAGTGGGGAGGGGATTGAGAAGTTTCTATCTTTAGCAGTTCACTAACATCTAATAACAATATAGTCAAAATCTTAAGAGAAACACACACAATTGGTCGAAACAAAAGTCCAAACAAAGAGGAAGAATCCTAAGAAAAGAAAATTACCTGTTCAAATCCAGTATGCACAATTGGCAAAACTATAGGGGTTACAGGAGCACGCGCAATGAGACTAGCGGTCCCCCACTTCAATCGTCTTATAGGTGCATCTTCCTGGTACACTTTTCCTTCTGGAAATGTATGCAACTGCCCATCAGAGATCCAAAAGTTTGAATTTTGAATAACCAAAGCTTTCACATAGATGTCGACGAATTATACATTACCGAACAAGTTAAAAACTTTACAAAACTACTGATACTATAAGGCAACTTTCCATTTCACAAACAACTAATGAAGAACCCATCAACCCGAAAAGTTACAACCTTTATATTTAAAAAACACAACATTGAGCTATGCAAACCGAAATATGCCATTGAATTCAGCACAGTCACATCCTAAGCAACATTGAATAGCTCCCAACTCAGTGGTGAAACTGGACTGACCCATTAAGCAGAAACTAAGAACATTTAATAAGATTAAGAAGTGATTACCCATGATCCTTCACTCAATCTCTCAAGAGCTTCATTCATGTGTTCTTGATAAATGCCGCCACCCCGCGTAATCGGAATGCACTTTCCTGACCAAATCACCACATAAAAAACAAATCCCACCTCCAAAATAACAGATACAATGTGCAAAAAACCCAAATCAAACAAAGAAAAGAAACCAAATTCAACTAACCAACTCTGAAGAAGTAAGAAAGCATTGAATTTTTAAAGCAGATGTCCTCGGCGGCCAAAACCCACCTCGACAAATTCGCATTAGTGATGGGGAACCCCTTGAAAGCCCACAAAAAGGGGTCGTCCATGGTGGACATGTGGTTGCTGACAGTGACGAGTGGGACCCTATTAGGCCGAGACCGGACCAGACGGAGAAGCGTGTCGGCATTGTGGACGGTGGTGGAGTTGAAGAGGGAGACGACGGCCTTCGCCATACCCCCAACCGGCGTTAACACCATCTTCCTCGGTATGCCGCCCATGTAATCGGACCGGGCAGCCCATTCCATGATTCTTCGACCCATGATTTGGTTCAGCGGAATCCCAGTTGGGTCGATTTGGATTTCATCGATCAGGGATCGAATTGGCGTGATTTCGAACGCTGCATGGTTGATTAATTTAGCGGAAAGGTATGGTGTGTTAATTTCGTTTGTGGTTTGCTGCGCGTGGGGTGAGGTTTGTTCTAGTGAAATTGGTGAGGAAGCTTCATCTTGGGCCTAGTGGGCCTTTCCTAATCTTAGAGATTGGGCCTTTACATTTAAGGTCGACTTGTTTCTTGGAAAATGTAAAGTGACGATAATGACCTTTTTCCAATAAGAAAAAAAAATTCCAGCATTGTAATTCTGAATTAATCATTGTTCTGAAGATAAAACTAATTTTGAATTAATTTTCTGAAATAACAATTTAACAGTCTAAAAAGTGTGTCATATTAGACTAAATTAAACTCTTAATTCATCATAATTCTAATGTATTGCCTCACTCTTCCTTATAATCTTTAAAAACTTAATTTATAAAGTCACTTCTCACTTGAGTCCTAATTTTTGTGGGTGTGTCCTAAAAATTCTCGCCTAAAACCGCCTAGGCACTAAGCAACTATTTATCATCCTAATTAATTTCTAAGCATTTGAAAATTAAGAAATAGCGTTTAGAACTCCTTAAGCGTCCGATTAGCCCGCCTAAGTCATGACTCTCTCTTAGATAGAAAATTGGTAATTGTCATTTTAAATTTTATTTTTGTTTAATAATGTAAAAGGTTTGTTGAATACTTATATGAACATTCATGATATGTTTGTTCCATGTATTATTAATATGTTATAATACTTTAATTTATATGTCATTTTATTTTACAATCTATGTATCTCAATACAATTATGTATTTTTATAAATATAAATAGACACTTATTTATAATAAATTTATTAAAATTCGCCTAGGCATTAGCTCAATCCATCGTCTGAATAACGCTTAACATCTTTTAGAACCTTAGTGTGGCCACACTTGATAAGACACAAGAACTCCACATTAAGCATACAAAAATAATCTATGAAAATGATTCTAACATGCTTTATTATCTGTTTAGTGTTCTCCAAGTAAATTTTTTATTTTTTATTTTGTGAAAAAAATTGCAAAATATTCCCCTTACATCCATCTATTGCAAAAAGGTTCAAATATATGTTTCTTCTTCGTACTTGCCACGTGGAGAAGTAGGTAGTAAGTATACCATGAGGCCGAATAGATCTTTAAATCATGTTCGTTCATCCTTTATTGCACAATCAATTTTCATCATATACTAATTTAAAATAAAAATATTTAAAATAATTTTTAATTGTACAAGATAAACGCATATAATTTGAGAATTTCAGAACTCTCGTAAAGAGGATCCCCATTGTAAGTACCCAAATCGGTAGAAAAAAACCGAAAGACAAACGAAGAATCCAGAAACCAAAATGAGAAAGTGACATCACACACATATGGCAGATTTGTGCGTTTCCCAGTCTTCTCGTTTCCTCCTACGCCCCAAAATCGGAGCTTTCCCCAACACCGCCATTTCTCTTCCCCTCGCCGGCGGCGGAGCTCGGCGCCTGCAACACAACAACAATCTCTCCTTTCACGGATTCAGAGCTTCTTGCGGTTTGAGCTACACCACCTCGATTCAAAAGCTTGGAGTGGTTTCCGACACCAAAACTTCCACCGTATTCACTGTTGATTCAGGAACCAAGGATATCGGTATCGAACCGGTTGCCGGCGGCGGAGACGGTGGGGGTGATTTTGGCGGTAGGGGAGGCGGCGGTGGCGGAGGCGGAGGCGGTGGAGGTGATAATAGCGAGGGTAAAGGGGAGAGTGAGGAGGGACCTGAAGAGAGCAAGAAGAAAGGGATGTCGATGTCTCAGAAACTAACCCTAGGATATGCTGTTCTTGTTGGAGGTAATCAATCAAATTCCTTTGTTTTCGAATCGTTAACATCTTTGACTAGCTTGTAAAATGTAAAGTTAACATCTTTGATTAGCTTCTAAAATTGGTTAGGAAGGCAGATAATAGTTAGGTTTTGCCTGTTGGGTTGTTAACTTGTTACGATTGTGGCTAAAGTTTGAGTCTAGGCCTTGAGTGGTGCTTGTAATGCCAAAGGAAGTAGAGAGTTTCGTGTTTGATGTCGATTAGTGTAACGGGTTGGTTTCCGATTTTGTTGGCGATCTCTGATTCCGCTACGGAGTCATGCTGATGGATTGTGGTTGTAATGTGTATTTGCAAGTTTATAGGTGATTTTTAGTAGCATTGCCATATGGGTGGGTTTATGGATATGGTTCTCATAGCTTTTGTGTTTGCAAATTCGAAGTTTCGAGAAGCTTTTCAGTCTAGTATCTTCCAAATGTCACTAAATCTTTCATGCTCGAGGTACCTGCTCAGGTTCAAACTTCTAATTAGCTTTGTGTTCCAAGACATCAAATCTTGGGATCAAATAATTATTTTGTGGATAGCAATTATCCCTAGGAACATATCAGTTTGTTGATGTCGGTTGCTTTTTTGACAGTGGGTGGCCTTATGGGCTTTTTGAAGAGTGGCAGCCAGAAATCACTGTTGGCAGGGGGTATATCATCGGCCTTGCTGTTTTATGTTTCTACTGAGCTTCCCGTAAGACCAGTTTTTGCATCATCTATCGGGCTTGGTTAGTTGTCATCACACTCATCTCATGTACTTATGTTGATAGTTGCTGCAGTAGTTGATTGGAAGATTATGTTTGCTTTATATCCATTTTAATGGTTCTCCCATATATCTGCTTTAATGACATTATTTCAATTGTATAATGCCGCTAAACACAGGCGATTCTAGGATTATCCCGTTTTCGCTTTTTCTGAGTGCAGTTCAATATCTTAATTTTGTTCACCTTAACAAATTACTAATTGTCATTTTCTCCAACCTCCAGGGTTGTCTGCTGCCCTCCTGGCTGTGATGGGATCTCGTTTCAAGAAGTCAGGGAAGATCTTTCCAGCCGGCGTCGTCTCTCTTGTGTCGCTTGTAATGACTGGTGGCTACTTACATGGAATTCTACGCAGTGCGCACTGAAAATGCAGAATGTAAGTTAGACTGTAATAAATGTGAGTATACCGTCTGGAATTATGGATCTTTCTTTTTTTGTTGTTAATATCCGGTATGGATTATCAGCATTAGCTTTTGAGGAAGGCATGTAAACTTTGTGTTGGAGGATGTCGTGCTTGAAACTTCGAATGTTTGTTCGACAATTTCTCACTGTGAAAATTATATGCGGTTTTGGTGTGCTCCTAGCTTCCGTCTATGATGAAAGTTCAATTCCCATCCTGTTCACTGGATTTATTCCAACTATTAGGTAATGTCAGCGGTATGCCTGCCGCAAAGCACATGAAATCTTGCAGAAAGAAAGAATTGCAAGAAATCGAATGCAATGCAGTGTGGAGTGCTGAACCCGTGGACCATGGCCTCACACGGTACAATATTCCTGCCGGAACTTTCATTTGGGGTTCAGCCACCGTACCTAACTGCCGAAACCTGATTGACCAATGCACGTCGGGTGCCATAGAAATGCACAACCAAAAAATTGTTGTTCAAACTTGGATGAAACATAATAAGCAGCTTAAAATTCACCACACGACTAAAGTCGTACAAATAGTTTTGTTATCTGTTTGGCAATTCCACAATGTAAAACGACGAGTGCGGTCTAACCGCCTTCGGCATAAACAGGGCTAACACATCTACGAATTCTTCACCAATCGAACACAGAATTCATCGTCGACCACCAATCTGTTTCAATCGACGGAGAACTCGTACACGCATGGCCCCGATTACACAAACGGGCGAGTCGGACACAACAATCACTGGTTAAATGTAGGTCTTTGCGAAATTACAACACATATGCTGAGACATAAACAGGGATAGAAGTTCAAGCTGGCTAGGCAACAGAAGGTTGAGTTTCTTCCTGAACCATGGCGGATTGTTTGAAGCAACCCACACCCGGCGAAGCGTTATCGCTCAGGTTAGTTTTTGCATCCTCGTCCTTCAGTGTTGCTGGCAAAGTAGGATATGGACTGTTGCTAACCATCCTGAAAGAATGAACAAAAAACAATTAAAACGAGAATTAAACACAGTAATTGATGTGTAAACTGAGACGGCCTAGGTACGGTGACAGAATGAAAACCGATACAGGATTTAGCGAGGGGGCACCTGTCCCGTCGCTTCTCCAGGAAACGCTGAAGAGAGTGTCTCCTTGCAATGGGAAATTCTGAACCAACAGAAACAATGAAGCCGGAATCACGAAGCCATCATTAATACTCTCAGAAGGAATTTACAATCACCGTGTAGATAGTACTGAATTCTTACCAGCTTGCAATTTGCAAATGGAACTATTCTGCTCAGGGTAGGGCTGGACCACTGGTGAACCAGGAGCAGTATAAGAGTTTTGCAGCGTGGACGATCCTGTACGAATCAGTGGACTTGGAGGACAGCTTGTCGCGCTATTCTTCACATCACTAGTCTTCTTATCAGCAGCAGCAGCGGCCGCAATAAGCATAAGTTCGCGAACCTATTACACATTTAAGTGCGCAAGTACAAAATTTGTCAAGCTCATAAATGACCGAGTTACATGTAAAACACTTATGCTTGTGCTGTTTAAGGGTAGAAAATAGCGTACCTTTTCTGCAGTAATGGCGTCAAACACGCTAACGCTCCCTGCGTAGAAGATGGTGAGCTGAGCCGGAGCAGGACAGGTAATGTTTAGTGCAGATGGTACTTTCCTGGCACTCAAACATAAAGAACAACAACAAACAAAGTCTCATGTGAGCCTAGCATGAAACAGACGTGAAAACTGAGATTGAACAGACTGGTAGTAAGCGCTTTTAACTCTTCCAGAAGCAACCAGGCTCATAAAAGCGCTTCTAGCAGAAGCGCTTTTGACAGAAACAAACAGGCCCCAAATCTAGAGTTGCTTTTAAAAGAAACAGAGTTACATGATAATTTAATCTGCTATATGTTCTGCCTTAATTTCTTGTTTCCAAAACAGAAAGCACCACAATAACATTAAGCACAAACACAATCTACCGACATCATGAAACTACCAGATCAGATCTCAAACAAAATCACATTAATGTTTCCAAATTGCTAACCAACAAACCAAACAACGTTGGAAAATCTGAAGGAAAACAAACACGAACAGTATCACTCTGCAAATTGCACCTGTGGGGACTCATAAATCCAAATTGACCTTATCTAAATCAGCTAATTACAACTAGTGCAGGTGAATTTTCTTGTTTTTGCAATAAAACCCCCAATAATATACAAAATAATATCTTTTTCCATCCCCAAGAAACTAAATCTTCCTAAATCCAAAACTCGGTCAAAGATTGACCCTTTCTTTCCAAACCCTTTTAATTCAACCGAAGAAGGACCTAAAATTCGTAGCTAAGTTGACTAGAATACTGTGCTCCCGAGACACCCAAATTTCAATCACCCTTCTCGTAGTTTAAATCAATTAGAATATTGCTCGAATCAAAAACAAAAAAATACCCAACAAAAAAAGTTTCTAAATTTGCAATTTATTTCAAAATTTGAGCTCACCTGGTCTTTTGCAGATCATCCTCCGTCTGGTTTGGCTTGTTTTGGGCAACCATTTCTTCTTCCATCTCTGAAAGCTTCACCTTCACATCGCAACCAACTCCTGCTTTTTCCTCCATTGCTTTTTTTTTTTCCTCACAGTTTGTTGCTTGCTTCACAACTTTCCCGGAAAGTGTTGAGCAAACACAAAACAACTCATTAAAAAAGCAGCTTCTTCCGGTGACCAACCCACCCAACCTCTCTCTCAATTATTAATTAATTTTCACCATTTTCTTAATTTCCCCACGTGTTTAAAATCCAGATGCTTTCTGGCAATTTAATAACGTTAACGACAACTCAGCCGCGTTTGGAGGTGCTATCTGTCGCCTTTGGAGTTGTCGTGAGCACATTCGATCGTGTGGTCACAAATATGTTTCTAATTATTTGCGTTGATGTGAGATGTTCCCATTAAGGTGAACTGCTTGAACAGATTGGGTTATTGGTTTCTTGGGGAAATTTCTTACCCATACGTTTTTGAGTGGAACCAGTAGCACCACGATCTTGTGGTAAAAGATCATGATCGTGTGGTCAAACATTTTGAGTGAAACCAGTTGCACCACGATCAAAGTTTAGGGCTTGGATCGCGGTAGAGAGGATAGTATGATTCCAGGCAAGAGCATTTAAACTACTAAACCCTACACTAGTGATAGCATCGGTAACAAAATTAGATTTCCTAAAAATATGCTTCCAAGAGATATTGATAAAAGACGAAGTCAGACTTATGATATCCAAAATGTTATTTTGATTCTTTGAGGAATGCCAAATCTCCCAATCACTGCATCAATGACCAATTTGGAGTCATTGACGACACAAATATTTTGAAATATTTAATAAAGAAACCACAATCATCGCAAATTATGAACCCCGCTGCAGCTCTCTGATTAAAAATGTTATTTACTTTCTTGTTTCTTACTTCTTTTAAGATTAGACTTGAACATTCACTTCCATTAAAATTTTTGAGTGATATTTGGAAAGTGACACTCCAGAAAAAAGTTATCATACAGAAGATTTTATTTGCCTTGTCCTTTTATAAGAAAAGGGCTGCTAGAGTACGAAATAGTGAATGAAAATTATAGGTAGAATAGGAAGGGTCATTTAAGCCAGCTTCTTATCCGAGTTCACGTAAACTAATCAATTATGGGACCGTTCCTTAGAAAAAAAATACATGAGAGAAAATGCATACTTTAAAATGATAATGACTTTTTGGCGTGTTTTAAAAATCTTGCTTAAATATTGGGCGTTACTGCTCTAATTAATGTTTAGGCGATTGCTCTAATTAATGTTTAGGCGCTAAAAAATGAAAGGAATATGATTCTCTCCCCTCCTAATCTCTCTCCCTTTCCATCACATCCTATTTAAACGGTTGTGATTACGTCATGTATATATCTTGTTTTGAATTTTTTATATAGATAATAAAAGAAAAAAAAGAGTGAGAGGAGGAGATAGAAGTGGATGGTAATGAGAGCAGTTCTACCGGGGAACTGATAGGCCAACACCCAGCCAAAAAACCAGCCCGGCACCTAGGCTATCCACTCCAGCCTAGCATTTTGACCGGCACCCAACCCAAGCTAGGCAAGAAACCGGCCTAAAATCGACAGACCCACATGTCGGGCCATCAACCTCCTGCACGATCAACACGTCGTAGAGAGATCTTGGTGCAGAGCTCCTCGAGGCTGAGGTTGAAGAAGGCCAATTTGTAGGCGGAGCAAAGGGCGGTGAGGATGGGGGTTTGGGGGCCATCGACGCCCTCCTCTCGAGGCTGAGGTTCAAAGAGAGAGAGAGAGAGAGAGAGAGAGAGAGAGAGAGAGAGAGAGAGAGAGAGAGATCCCTTCCACTGTGTTCTTCCCATATCCATTCATCTTGTTAATGAGTTTCTTTCTTCTACACATTGGAGGGGAGCAGAGATGCATTTGTTAAAAATTAAATTATTATTTTATAATAAAAATTAATAATATTTTAATAAAATTGACTATGCTATTTGATTTTTTGGATGGAGATGTTTTGGCCTATTACTATACACTGAAGTCTATTACTGTTCACTTGAGTGGATAAATGAGATGAGTGCTGGCGCAAAGTCTTTAGGGGTGAAATTGCTCTGAAAGATAAGAGAATTGTACTCCACAATAAAAAAGAATTTATAGGCAGGTCTAGGTTCCCCCTAGTTCTAGCCTAGTTGGTTTTAGGCGGGTATGCAATTTTGTAACTTTTATGCTTTATTATTATTATTTTTTTTTTTTAAGAAAATCGTTTAAGTCACGACTCTCTCTGTCTCTCAAATAGAAATTAGATAAATTTTATTATGCATTTTATGTTTTAAATAAATTGTAAGAGACTTACTAAATATTTAGATGAACATATTATATGCTTGTTCCTATGTTCTATATCGTTTATTCACCCCTCGACTAACGCATACCGCATTTTAGTCGATCTTATTTGAATAGTTCTCTAAAAAAAATTATATCAATACCCACTTGGACTCATACGTCTTCTAAGCAATGGGAATCATTAAAAGCATAAAGCTTAACCTAATCTCAATAGCAAGCAACACTTTTATCATCATGGGATATGCGTAGAAGGAGAATATATCTCCATAGTGCTACTTCAAGTTCTCCTAATTAGAAAATCTAGTGAGGCTACAAGGCTTGGCAAGTGAAGATAAAGGACTTATCGTTCACATGTTCTTACTTTGTACGCTATGAAAGTGATTATTGACAACACTAGAAGCAACCATTATGATTGAGTTGTGGGGGGGGGGGGGGGGGGTGGCTAACGTCTACTTTGAAAGGTTTATCATTGGAACTGTGTAAGTTCTAAGGACAAAGCCATAACAAGTGAAGATAAGAAGTCTATCTTCATTAGTTTTTAGTGTGGCTTAGCTATTATTTGAGATTATATATCAACTCAAGAACATTTGGAAATGTAATTTGCTTCTTTATAGAGATAGTAAATACGTAGTGGATTAGTTCACTAAATGGTTTTAAATTATCTCTTTAAGGAAGTTATTTAAGGTATTAAATACCTAGCGATCTTTCGAAAAATATCTTAAATGTGCCCAAGCATATGCAAATTACTTTGTAAGTCATAACATATGTTTTGAAGGACTTAACATTGCAAACAACTACTCTCAAATGAATTTATTTTCATGCATGGATATGAAGTTTGTGATGGCCATAGATTGTAGATAGTCAACCTATAGTACCAATTACAAGGTTGAAATGGGTTAAAAGAAGCAATTATAAAGGTTTTACTGGAGATTTTATTTGCTTTGTCCTTTTATAAGAGAAGGGCTGCTAGAGTACTAAACGGTGAAAGAAAATTACAGGTAGAATAGGAAAAAGTCATTTAAGCTAGTCTCTGCTGATAGCTTCTTATCCGACTATACGTAAAATAATCAATTATGGGACCGTTCCTTAATAAAAAAATACATGAGAGAAAATGCACACTTTAAAATGATAATGACTTTTTGGCGTGTTTTAAAAATTTCTGCTTAAACATTAGGTAGTTGGTCACTAATTAATGTTTAGACATTTAAAAATAAAAGGAGTATGATTCTCTTCCCTCCTAATCTCTCTTCCTTTCTATCTCCTCCTATTTAAACGGTTGTGATTACGTCACGTCTGCATCTTATTTTGAATTTTTTATATAGATAATAAAACAAAAAGAAGAGTGTGAGAGGAGGGGATAGAAAAGGATGGTAATGAGAGGGGAGAAAATCCTACTCCAAAATAAAAAAAAGCTCATAGGCAAGTCTAGGCTCCCCCTAGCTCTCTCTCTCTCTCTCTCTCAAATAGAAATTAGATAAATTTCATTATGCATTTTATGTTTTGAATAAATTGTAAGAGACTTACTAAATATTTAGATGAACATATTATCAGTGTTCTAAAAATCGCCCTATGCGGCGCCTAGGCGTTTGGCGGTGGTCTCCCGATCCGATTTGGGGGAAATCATTACAAAAGTCGGTGGGTATCTAGGCGGTGCTCAAGGCGGTTTGAAATTCTTGCCAACGTTGAAGGCTATGCAATTATTGTTGTCTCGAACTCTCATCGGATCTGCAATTCTAACTTCCGCATTTGCATCGAAACTCCCATCTGCGTCTGCATTTTAATATAGCCATGGTTGCTTTGCTAGAGGGTTTCTGGAAAAAGAACGAAAGAGAGAGAGAGAGAGAGAGAGAGAGAGAGAGAGAGATAGATAGATAGATAGCCATGGTTGCTTTGCTAGAGGTTTATGAAAAAAAAAAGAGAGATGGGGAGGGAGGAAAAAAAGAGAGATTTTTGGGATTTTGTGTTTCACGGGTTGATAGGAAAAGGGAGAGAGAGAGGGGGAGAGAGAGAGAGAGAGAGAGAGAGAGAGATTTATGGGATTTTGTGTTTTACGGGCAGATAGGAAATTAAAGTGGGAAGATAGTTGTGGAAAAAAAGATGCGGCTATCTATTTGCCACATTTATGTCACTAAGGAATAAGAAATTTATTTTTATACAAAGAAATAAGGTTGTTTATTAAATGAAAAGCCAAGCCCAATCTTGATCACGAAAAGAAGCAAAGCCCAATAATAATTAAAATACGTGGGTTGAGTAGATGTTATAAAACTAACATAAAAAGCCCTAAAATTTTTACAAATATATTTATATTTTATAATATATATATATAAAATAAATATACATAAATCCGCATAGGCGTCCGCCTAGATCCCTGCTAGCCGCTTAAGCGCTAGGTTCCTGCTAGCCGCTCGACTAGCACCTAACGTTTTTTAAAACCTTACATATTATATGATGTTCCTATGTTCTATATCGTTTATTCACCCTTGATTAACGCCTACCGCATTTTAGTCGATCTTATTTGAATAATTCTCTAGAAAAAATTATATCAATACCCACTTGGACTCCTAAGTCTTCTAAGCTATAGGGAATCATTAAAAGCGTAAAGCTTAACCTAATCTCAATAGCAAGCAACACTGTTATCAACATGGGACATGAGTAGAAGGAGAATATATCTCCACAGTGCTACTTCGAGTTCTCCTAATTAGAAAATCTAGTGAGGCTACAAGGCTTGGCAAGTGAAGATAGAGGATTTATCGTTCACATGTTCTTACTTTGTACGCTAGGAAAGTGATTATTGACAACGTTAGAAGCAACCATTATGATTTTGTTGTGGGGGGCTAACATCCACTTTGAAAGTTTATCATATGGAACCGTGTAAGTTCTAAGGACAAAGCC